TATATATAATAATAAACAATAAAGATACGCATCTATAATTCAAATATTGAAAATATCAATGATCTTCTATCGATAAATACCATTATGCATATCTCTCGATAATATAATCCTATATCAAAGTGATTCGTCCTTCATCTTTATCAATCAATTTTTTAAAATTATATATTATATTCATGCTAAAATTCGAGAAAGATTAAGAATTCTCATCTGAAAAATTTCTATTCTTGATTAGCATCTCGCCTCGTATACCCATTATGCGTTCCCACCAACACCAAGAATATAGCAAACAAATCCAATCCCACAACAGAGAAGACACCATACCGTTCCGGCAGTATTCCGCCCTCTGCCCAAAATGTGGAATTCCCAAATCCCAGCCCAGCTCCTCGACTCCCAATTCCTCAGTAAAAATAAATCCAAATCCAGACTCCCCCAATACATTTTTATCTGGGATCCGTAGAATCCGTGCTGCCATCTGAATCGTCCTAACACTCAGGCCCTCATAGCCCTCCACAATCTCGAAGACGCCTCAACTTGAATTCAAAATCCTCACCCATGACATGAAGCCATCGCGGCCATATTTTCTAAGGTGAAACGCGAAAGCATCACAGGAATTTCATTGTCTCCTCAATGTCTACTCTCTCTCTAGAACTCTTGAAGTCCAAGCAACTTCAAGCTGCTTGCTGGCATCGTCTCGCTGCTTGCGCAAGATACATGATGAGTAGTCAGTTGTACAAGCCATCACAGCTGACAGGCTGCTCATGAATCAGCTCAGGTAATGATTGCCTTCCGACCAGTTTCGAAGGTGGCAATCCATCTCCTCATGGCCATCAGGGTCACAGCCTTGGCCACCGACACAGCTTCCTTAGGAGGATCCGAGTCGAAACGCAGATCTTCATGATGGGCTCCCGCGGGAATGAGGTGCAGCGAGATGTCCAGTCCTTCGGGCAGGGCCTCCAACTTCGGAACTCCCACCCTCCAAGGGTCCTTCTCCCCGTTGGTGAACAGCAGGTTCCCGACCTGGAGGTTGCTGGCCCCGAAGCTGACCTGGGGGGTTTGCGACCATTTGGGCTGCCTTTCTTGAGGTCCGTATTATAAGGAGCTACAATTTGGGGGTCTATATTGAGGGGTCCCTTATTTTCGTAACCTCCCACCTTCAGCCATTCGGTGCGGGGCGTGAGACCATAGCGCAACTGGCAACTCTGGGCCACTTCGCTCAGCTGATCGTCGGAGGCAGGGTAGAAGCCCATGCCATCACCTATACTCCCCTGAGAACCTTAATAAACATACTTATGTTCAATATCCTCTTGGGTTTTACATAAACAAGAATAAAAAAGTAGTTCCCAAGGAGGATATAGTCACTCGTCAAGGACTGCATGGGCATCTCGTTGCAGGCTTGGTACTGCCAGTGTCCCATGTCCTAGGTTCATGGTTGGGATAATATTAAAGACTTAGACTTGCTTATTCCTTATAGGGTTAGGGTTTAGGGTTTAGGGTTTAGGGGGTTTAGGGGGTTTAGGGGGTTTAGGGGGTTTAGGGGGTTTAGGGGGTTTAGGGGGTTTAGGGGGTTTAGGGGGTTTAGGGGGTTTAGGGGGTTTAGGGGGTTTAGGGGGCTTAGGGTTTAGGGTTTAAGTACCCTTAAAAATGTAAAATGGTACCCAACTATCACAAAGTGTCAGGTGCCTTCACTGGGCCGAGCAGTTTCCCATCCGTTGGACGGCCCACCACTTCGGCTATGATGTCATAGCACCGATAGCCACCCGTGGCGTTCCTTACTTCTCCAATAGCCAAGGGAAAAAAAGGTTAAACTTTTATGATTCCTACTCAACAAGGGAACCCGACAAGTTTAAAGCTCAGCTGTTGGAGAAGTAAGGTTCAGGAAGAAGTCCATAATGCTCCGCAGACCTTGGATGCCAGGGCTACGCTGCAGACCCTGGCAGGCCACCTTCACAGGATTGGCGGGCAAGGGCGTGACGAAGTTGGTGGCCACGGGGTAGTCCAACATGGCCAGGGTGGCCACCACACCGCGCAGGAAGAAGTCTGCCTTGGCGCCGGCAGAGGTTTCATTCTGCAAGTCCTGGCAAGATGCCAAGGCGGCACCAAGCTCCTGTCGCCCGAGTTCCGTGTGCGCTTTCTGATGCAGCTGGCGCAAAGCTTTGCTTAACTCATCAGGGCAGGTCTCCGCCCCATACTTCCGACTGGTATGCAGAGTTGCATTCCAGAAGGCTTCTTGACGACCGTCCTGAGGATAGAAATCAATAGGTGCAGAGGAGGCGATGCCACCTGCTGTCAGGTGCGGGTACTTCTGGCGGAACCATGCCACTAGCATGCCGCCGTAGCTTCCGCCCAAGGTGATGATGGGACACTCGTGTGCCTGACAACCGAGGCGAGACCGCAAACCTGAGAGGAACCAGGCGGTGTCTGCCAGGGCCTGTTCTACTGTCAGAGTCCGCCTGGGAGCTGGGGATTTCCCATAGCTGCGGTGTTCCAGGAAGACAACCATTGCTTCTAGCACTTGGGCATGTTCAAAGAGGGCCCCTGAAGCATTGTAAAAGGTCTCGACTGAACCTTCACCGCCAAAGAAGAATAGAATGGGATTGCCTGCCTTCCACCACCTGTCGAAGGTCATGGTCCTTTGCTCAAAGGTGCCATTGTTCGTGAAGTCAAAGTTGTCCACGAAACTGGCGACCCGCCCCATCTTGGGCGGGAATTGAGCTAAGGCACCTCCTGCGGGGTCGGCAGAACTGCTATGCAGAAGTGAGCCCATCAAGGCCAAGGTGAGAGTCAACCTCTTGGCCATGATTTAAACGTCCGGATGCCTGCAGGCTCAGAACTTCTGTAACTTGAGCCACTGGCCAAGAGTGCCCATGTGCCGCAGCTGTCCGAAATCTATGTCTGACATGCTGTGTACGCTATTTGGCAGGGGCAGCTACATGGGCCCTTAGTATGGTCCCTTACCTTAATTTCAAGGGTTCTGACAGAAGGGGCATATAAGAAGTCCGCATGTAAGGGCCCATGTCAGCATCTTCAACTGTGATGTTGATTTCATCTGCGAGTCTGCAACATTTGCAATACTTGCTAGCTACTTATTCCTTATCCTTACTCATATCATGCATATCCATTCATCGATAGATGCCATGGCCATGCACATGTGCGCGCCATCAACATCCATCCACGTCGGGCGATTTCCAGCTTGATCATCGTCCATCCTCTTCCATCTTCATCCCGAAGCATGCCCCCCCGACCGCAACACCTCCAGTTGGCTGTGAAATCTCCTTACCAGGCTTTGGCAACCTGTCTTAGCATCCATATGGAGGTTTACGATATTAGGGGCACCTTATTGGGGTCCTTCTTCTTTGGGAATCCGACTTTTGGGGGTCGATGAAGGTCCCTTATTTTCATAAACCCCCATGTACGCGTGACCAGATCGGCCGGGCGGAACGCCGGCGCACCACCGCTGCTTGCCGCCCCTGCAGCATATGAATGAATGACCCACCGGTACGGGTTCCATCACCCGTATGTTCGAGCAGCCACTGACCTCTCGGCAATTCTTCGTAAAACGCTTCAAGAGGTCCTTGTGCGTGGCATCCTGTAGATACTCTGCTTCGTGTGTCTGACAAGATCAGGTGAAACGTGTGCCGACGCTGAAAAAGACAGAAACCAAGCCACCAACCAGCATTAACAGAGAAATCGCGAGGCACAAGCCGCAGGATGTCCCGTGAGAATGCTGTTTTTGAGCGCACACAACTGGAAGCAGTCTATACGGTGAGACATGGTGATGTATATGTATATAGACCCTTAAGCCCATATTACATATGCAGACCATCGGTACATACATTTATGTACGGTATAATATCTGTATAAAATATCCAGTGAGACATGGTACCTCTGAGAAGGTCTCAGGGCTGGCGTCTCCCTAGGCCACAGACTCAGGCTTTTGGTTGAGGAAGTTGAAAGAAGCCAAAAAGTTACCTTCATTAGGGAGTTGCAATCATGATCGAAAGTAGTTTAGTACTCTCATTATGGGAAGGAGGAAATTGCCAGAGAGCCATGTGGCAAGCAAATCAGCTGTCACTTGCTTGCAACGGATGTATTCCATGCGCAAGCATCCTTTCTAGGGGGCTCACTGTCATTTTAGGCAGTTGCTCCTCGATCATTCTTTCCGAGTGTGGGCTCATGATTGTACCCTCATGGCCCATGGCGTTTGTAGCTCGATCTCGGGAAGAAGTCAAAAAATGTCCTTGCCAGGGCATGACGATTCAGCACACGAGACACATCAAGTTTGGGCTGGGGCTTGTTTTGAATTTGCACGTCTGGCTGAGGATGGTAAGGCCGGCACTTGAATGGCTGACGAAACGTCGTTCATAGTGCTTGTCGCATCGCCGGACTTTGTCTTGCGCAATTGGACGACCTTGCTTGACGTTGGGCCAGTCTGCTGGTTTGCAACTAGCAGCTCCATTCTAGTCCTGACAAATGGCTAGGATCTGGATGCGGACAGCTGAACATCATCTCCAGCAGCGCTGTTGTGCCAAGGGGCTGAGTGCACGACGGCATAACTCGGAAGAACTGCAGAACTCAACAGATTGCCATGCATTCCGGGGCCGGCGTAGGCATTCCGGACGCGCAACTGCAAGATCAGAAGTCCCAATAGTGCTGACACCCCTTCCTGAGCGAAGCCAAGCGAAGTATGTCCTACAGGAAGGTCTCTTAACCATGGTCCCCTAACACAGATGATTAGGGATGCCCGTAACCCCAAAATTCAAAAAAGGAGCCATACCAGGATGGGCTATTAGGCCCTATAACCCCCATAAACAGCCCTACAAAGGCCCAGGGGTTATAGGGTCTAATAGCCCTAAACCCTAAACCCTAAACCGGTATTTTGGAAGTGACCGATCGATGCGCTTCTGCGGCCGAGCGTCGATGACCAGCAAGATAATCGAACCTGGGATGGCTAAACCCTGAAACCTAAACCCTAAACCCTAAACCCTAAACCCTAAACCCTAAACCCTAAACCCTAAACCCTAAACCCTAAACCCTGGGGGTTTAGGGTTCAGCGCTTTAGATTTAGGGGTTTATATGGGGGTATGGTCTGCTTCAGCCCCTTAAAATCCCTCTTTTGCTTGAGGGTTTCGGGCTGTTATCCTCTTCAAACCCTTAAAAACCCTCTTCGGATCTAGGGCTCAGGGTTATTCTTCTCAAACAAAGTACCTACTACCCTCTTAAACCCAATAAAGAAAAATGTAGAAACGCATCTCTTACTTACTGTTGGTTAGCAGGGAATGAGGGAATCAGCGCCTATATATACCCTTGAAGGGATTAGGGAGCCTCATTCCAGTAAGCTTAAGGGCCCAGGAACTGGTGGAGAATCCCAGCCTGTCAATCTGAGACAAGATGAACCCCTTGGAGCCCTTGCCCTGCAGCACGTCCTTGTAGTGCTGCTGCAGGTCCTTGTGGGGGGCTTAGGGTTTAGCGTTTGGCGTTTGCACAAGGCCATGACAATGACGGGATGTGGAAGCTGGAAAAGAGGCTACGTCATTCTGGATTTAAGAAGTATCCCAGAGAGTCCATTTGTAGTACCGTTACGGAACTAGGCACCCAAAAGCCACACTGAATAGGGTTTTGGGGTACCTAATTCCATAATAGTACTACAAATGGACCCTCTGGTATACCTGCACACAGGTGGTGACGGATAAGGTAGATGCCTCTGGCGAGGTTTGTTCATCGATGCAGTCAAGTTTAAAAAGACAGCAGCAGGACTAAACTACCCTTAACCCGTGACAGGCTTAAAGACACCGCCGCGCCCGCCCCCTTACACTTAAACCCCATAAGTCGTTCAAGGATTTAACGTCACAATGGGTATTCGATCTGCGCTTGAGATGCTCTCAGGGGTTGTGCTACCATTTGTCGATTTCGTTCAGACATCTTCTGGAAATGTGGCCTATGTTCGCAAAAGGTCTTGTTTCAACGCTCCTGGCGCCAGCTGGCAACATGTCATTCAAACAAGGCTGTTCTAGCAGTGCGGCCAAGGATCCTTGAACCGTACTGTAATGACAGAAGCGTAGGCTATTATGGTGGCAAGTGGGCTCAGAGCATCTGGAATCAGACTTTCGTCTACTGCAGATACGGCCGTCAGGTAGATAATGGCGCTGACAAGAAACCTGAGAACACAAGCTCTGCAAGCAGTAACAAACAGTTCTCTTACTGAAACTGCCAGCAATCACATGCACAGCTGAAGCATAGTTGAGATAAGTGGCGCAACTGTCAGCACCGTCCAGAAAAACAAGCATGCAATCTGCAGCAAACTCAAGGCGAATCGAAAAGTTCCCTGGCCAACAGAAAAGTAATACAGGGCCCCGAGCAAGCCAATGCAAAGACCATAGGTCCCAGCCATGAGATCGAATGCCGCTCTCCACTCCTCAGGAAGGCAGATGGCACACAGGTACCGAGACGAGCAGCTCTTCAACTGACAAAAACTGGATTGACAGCCGCAGAAGACGCAAACCGCGCTTTCTCACGCTTTGCTGCGCGCGCAAGAACGCTTGCTGGCTGCATCCACGGGTGCTGGCATGAGGCAGCAGGCGTAGCATGGCAACGCGCACACAGCACTGAAGACAACTCCGTGGAAGAGTGCCGATGCCACAGCCAAGGGAACCTGAATCATCGAAGAACGGCTGGCGCGCACGTGATTTTATGAGAATGGCTTGTAAATATGGGATCATCTAGTATAACCGAGTATAATCTGCTGTAATCCATTGTCCGATTATATAATGCCATTGGCGATGTACTCGATGTTCAGGTTTAGGGTTTAGGGTTTAGGGTTTAGGGTTCAGGGTGGCAGGCCGAAAGGCTGCAGTTCAGGCTCTAGGTGGGCAGACCTGAAAGCGGCCCGATTAAGGATTCTATAGGGGACGAAGGGTGATACAACTTAAAAATTATGTTCAAACCTACCCTTGCAAAATTGAAATCATTGGTTTTTCGTTGACGGCAAGCCTGCCTGCACCCACTTGCTTCTACTCTAGTGGCGGCAAAAAAATGCCGCCTCGAAGAATCTCAGCACATGCTGATGAAAGTGGTGTCGTGCAGGTGGTGTGTCAAGACGGTTTAAGGTTGAGCGTTTAGGGTTGATGCGCCTGCTCCTCACAGGAGTAAGCATTTCCCAGGAAGTTGTCCAGAATGAAGAAAGGCGAGCACATCACCAAGCGATCCTTGCAAGGAACAGGACGTGACAGCACATCATGCTCGGTTTAGGGTTTAGGGTTTAGGGTACACATTTCGTCCAGTGCAGAGGCACGCGCTGCACGTGAACGAACATTCTGCGACTTCTGTGGAGTCTTACCCAAGGCTCCTGGAAAGAAATATCTCCCATTTCGAGTTCCTTACCTGGCATGAACGACAGGGCTTCCCAGCCATAATTTGCAGGATTTAGGGTTTATTTTAGGGTTTAAGGTTGCCGCAACTGGTGCTACTTCGACTGTGAAGGGAGATCCATTGCGACAGATGTTGGTGCCTGGGACAGTCAAGAACGGAAAAGTGCAAGTGATTAATCCCCTCCCCCCATTCCCCCCAAGATTAAACCCCGCCCCCCTACCCGATTATGGTATATGAGGGTTTTAATATTAGGGGGTAATTAGGGGGGAGGTTTCATATTCGCGGGAAGGGAGTATTGTTCCCGCCCTGCGGCCTGCATCCTTCTCAGGGACCTTCTTGGCAAGGACTGCCTGAGGGCACAGCAGAGACTCTTACTTCTCCAATAACCAAGGGGAAAAAAAGGATAAACGGCTAAACTTATATATTCCTACCAAATAAGGAAACCCAAAAAACTTAAAAGTTCAACTAAAGGCGAAGTAAGGACTTTTGTTCAACCTTTGCGTATTTCCTGGCCTGTGACCTGGGCCCTAAGCATTCAAACCTGTGCTGTGCTGTGTCCAGGCATGGGCCGGCTTTCAGAGGGATCTTCACAACCCTAAACCCTAAACCCTAAACCCTAAACCACACAGGCACCATGTAATTCAGACCTTTCTTGCTTCCGGACTCGTCTCCATTCGCCAGGATCGCCCGCGCTTGTCGCAGCAACATGCGGCAACCCACCCCAGACTGGTGGTCAAATGGCGGAACAATCTTCAACCCAGAATAGGTGAGCAAATGGCCTGTTCTATTGCTATTTGCCGCTCCGGGACGGCCATCTCTTCTTCAGTGAGCGTGTGGGAGTCTAAAGAAAAGATCTTTGCTCCTTATTCAATGCCAGAGGGGTGCAGACAGGTCAGCACATTAGGGCTGGTCATGTCTGTAGACCAATGAAAATGAAGCGAAACTCACATCTGACTCCAAGCTTCTCTTTGCCCTCTCCCAGAGGTACTCGTTCTGGGTTATCCAGACCTAGGAAAGTACGAACACAGCGGCAATTCCAGCGACCAACCCAAAGACAAGAATGTTATGATACCTCCCGCAGCCGGCTTGGGTCCCTTCTTGAGATGTTCCGCATCACTGTTCTTTCTTGCTGGGGTTTAGGGTTTACAGTAGTTAAAGCTCCGTTCTTAAGTGTAGCTGCTCTTGCCTTGCAGCCTCAAGTCCAGACATTTCCAGTTGATCTGTCGTTTGGACCTGTAGTGTAGTGCCATCGGTTTAGGGTTTAGGGTTGTTGTGAACATTCCTAGATGTCGGAAGCATCCTGACGGAAGATGTTCAAGACACTCAAGATGCTCCTGGGAAGCTCTTTGCGGCCCTAAACCCTTTGCCACTGGGCTTGAGGCATAGCCAGATCTGCCCGACCTCTATCATAACCCTAAACCCTAAACCCTAAACCCTAAAACCTAAACCCTAAACCCTAAACCCTAAACCCTAACTGGGGACCTTACAACCCTAAGCCCTAAGCCCTAAGCCATCCATGCTTCGCCAAGCCCCTTGCATCGCAGCTGAACTTCCAGTCGTGGTTGACTTCTTTCCAAATCCACTTTAGAACGCCTTGGTAGGGTTTAGGGTTTAGGGTTTAGGGTTTAGGGTTTAGGGTTTAGGGTTTAGGGTTTAGGGTTTAGGGTTTAGGGAGCCCAGTAGCCATGTTCTAAGCAGGGTACCGTTTTGAAGGTTGGTTACTTTATAAAGGGAACCTTTAACCCCAACAAGGGCAAAAAAGGTACCACTTACCTACCAAGACGCTGAAGCAGAGCAACAGCAACAAGCCAAATGCGAGCCAGGAGATGATCAGCCTCAGTGCCGCAGCATGGGCTTGATTTTTTTGGCCACCTGGGTTTAGGGTTTAGGGTTTAGGGTACCTGACTATGGCAGCCTCGCAAAACCATGGTGGGGTTTAGGGGTTAGGGTCCAAGTGCCCCCCACCTCAGCGCACGTCTCCGACATCGCAGCCCTGACACACCCCTCGGACTTCGGATGAGGAATGTTCTTTAAAATCGGACTAGGATCGCTCTTGCAATTTAGAGCCATTTAGAGTCTGCTACAAGGGATACTGGTCCCCGCAAAGGAGCCAACTCCCCAGGCAACCAAGAAGCCAGTCATGTGTCATTTCGATCTCTTTCCATTCACCATCCTTCCAGGCTGTGCCATCGCTTGCATGCCTCAGGCTGGCAGACTTGCGCCTCTCCGGAAGTGGCACGCAAGACAAACCAAAGCTACCAGAACTGCAGTATTCCCGGGGGTTGCACTGAAGCCTTCCAATAAGCCCTAGACCCTAGACCCTTTTAGTCAGTGCAGCATGGCGGACATCATGCCTGAAAGACTCAGCACGAGGGGAGAGAACCACATGTATGCAGACATGGCAGTTGATCAACATACCTGTTCCCAAAATAGGGCTATACTTTCCCTACGAACCCTATATTTAGGTTACCATATCTCATTTACCAGACGGACTTTTAGATCAATCCCTAAACCCTAAACCCTAAACCCTAATCCCCCACGTATTTTCAAAACACAAGCGAGAAGACATCAACTTAGGTGCATGGACCCCACGGGAGACCGCAAAACAACAACACCCACATGAAAAGGGCCAAGCAATCCCCTTCATCCCTAATGGAGTGGTTTAGGGTTTAGGGTTTAGGGTTTAGGGGTTTAGGGGTTTAGGGGTTTAGGGGTTTAGGGGTTTAGGGGTTTAGGGGTTTAGGGGTTTAGGGGTTTAGGGGTTTGGGGTTTAGGGGAGTGAAGAGGTTCTTGGAGGAAAGCCCCCTCTTGAACCTACCAGCGAAGCTGTGAAGGCGGGAAGTTGCGCACGGCGAGGACGCAGTCGATGCCCAACGCTGCTTGTGACAAGCAAGGTGCAAACAGGTCATTTGCAGCGTTCAGCAGCTGTGGCAGCCGGAGGAAACGGTTGAAAGAAGCAAGTGAATGACAGTGTCGGCGCTGGCTTCAATTGTCGCCAACATCATCATACTTTGCGTGCTGCTCGCGGGGCAAATTTTCATGAACAGTCGGAACAGCACGAAGTTTGCAAAGCTGTGATGTAGAACATCAAGTGACAAGTATGTGCTTAAATATCCAGTGCGCGTGGTTCCCTCGAACTCACTTTTCCGGATGAGCCAATGGATGTTGCCACACTGGCCCGCATTCATAGGGTTTAGGGTTTAGGGTGTAGGGTTTAGGGCCCATTTTCCCCAGTCAGTGTGAAGCAGACTTGTGGAGACAAGGGCCCGCAGGGGAAGCCTCGTAACAAGCCTGCCTGAAATTGACTCTGAGGCAGTCTTGTGGCGACCCTGTTGGGAGGGAGGAGGGACGATGCCCAATTGCCCCACTTACCCCATGCCCCGCTGGCCGCCAGGGCAGACGTGTGGCTACTCAAGTGCCGACGGAAGAGGAGGGAGACATGGGGGTGCCTGCAGCAAAAGAAGCCTAAGTATTCGAGAGCAAGTCTACCTTGTGCGACCCACAGTGTAGGTCTGGGGGCCGACGGGAGACTTGCTTCGTTGGCATTGCCCCGCTTGCCCCAGTGGGGGCAAGTGGGTAAAAAAGAACGGACGAGGATGCCGCTGGTGCTCGCAACAAAAAATAGATTGGGAAGGTGGTCTTGGTGGGGGGGGGGGAGGGGCTAAAAAAGAAAATCTAACAAACATTAGGAAATATTAGGAGAGGGCCGTTGAGGTTCTGTGAGACTCTGATCCAAGGCAAAAAAGGCTGCAGGAGCCTTTTTCTCAGGACATTGATGTCACCGCGTACTCAGCCAGCTCTGGTCCTTGCTCCTAATTTTGACCACAGCACAAGGAGACAGGAGGAGATTCTGAAGGAGGACACAAAAGGACATCATGAAGGGAGACGGTTTTGGCGGAGGGCTCGAAACAAAATTCTTGGATCCCTAATTATATCGGTACACTGTATGGGGACCGGGGACGGTTCAGACGGCACCGCTTCTTCTTCCCCTAAACCCTAAACCCTAAGCATGTTACAAGACTTCATGACAACTGGAAGCCCTGGAATCTTGATAAGCTTTTGGGTTCTCACACGCAGTCCCACTGACGGTTTAGGGTTTAGGGCATCCAACTGAAGCTGCACCCAGGTCGCACAAACATGGTGCCCTTGACGGATTCCTGCTCCTGAGTTTAGGTCAGAGTTGAAGCCAACACTAGCTTGATGTCATCGTGAGGAGGCCAGTGCGCAAGTTAGGCCCGCGACCAAAGGGTTTAGGAGATGGCGAGAAAAGGCGCTCTCTACAGCGGTCATGTACTCAGCCGTCTCCATCGCCTGACTTCTCGGCAGGCTGTTCTGGTTGCACCCAAACCGACTGAGGCTAAAAATGCCTCAAAGGATTGCGCCCTAGTCCCTGGAGACAACGAAGTCCGTGCACCGAGATTTTTTGCCCATAGTGGCGGTTTAGGGTTTGGGGTTTTCGTTTCGTATGATGCTGCTTCCAAGAACTTTAACATCCAGAATCGGGCCAGGTAGCATGGGAGAGTGACAGCTGGAGATGTGTTGGATATAGCTTCCGTGCCCCCATGCTGAGCAGAGGGTACCAGTCCTTGTTCCTGCCAAGGGCTCCGTGACTTCAGCAACCTGTCCTTGCGCGACCTGGCAGCAAAACGGCATGTTTAAAAGGGTCCTGTAAACCTCCTCGCTGGCATACCAGTCGATGGTTGGCACACCGTCCGCAAAGCGACCAGAAGGCACAATGGTGATCTCAGGGCAGTCGGTTCATGTTTCTCTTTGGACTGCCGGTTCATGTTTTACTTTGGACTGTCTACAAAGGACATGCTGAAATGATAAAAAAAGCTACGCCCCTGAAACCCATTTTTGCAACTGGGACTTGGTGACTGCCAGAAACGGAACCCCCTGAAACCCTAAACTAGACAGACCTTTGCGCGCCAAGATGCCCGCAAGGAGCCTTCATTTGCCAGTTCGTAAGCCCACGGATCCTCGGGAGCGCTCGCTACGATTTGCTTATTAGGGTTTAGGGTTTACGACTCAGGATTTGCTAAAGAACCCCCCTTCAAATCATACGTTCCTTCTAAGGGCAATACAGGGATTATTCCATTTATCTTGGGGGGGGGTTCTGAAGCAAGTAGTAGCTCACACTATGATAGTCACTGTTGCTAGACTATTGATCTTATTGGGTTTCAATTTCAGGTATAAGCGACTTGTATTCTTATCAGGTTTCGGTCACCATGTGTGGCCAAGCAATGGGCATGGCCAAGTGAATGTGAGAACCTACGAACCTCCCAAGTGACAGGCAGAAGCTGACCCCAACTGCTTTAGGGTTAGGCTTTAGGGTTTAGGGTTTAGGGTTTAGGGTTTAGGGTTTAGGGTTTAGGGCTTGGGGTTTGGGGTTTAGGGTGCATTTCACGAAATAAAAGCGCCAGCCGTCATCAACGTCGCCATGATTCTATGTAGCTATAGGGGTACCTTCCAAAATAGGAGTACCGCCGATGTGCACCAAAAGATTGCAAGTATTGTTGTGCGTGGTACCCCTCCCTTGGGAACAACCCAAACCAACCAAATCGACCTTCCCCAAACCCTTTTACAACCAGGACTGCCTTCCATAAACCCTTTTTGCAACTGGACTCTTTGCTGCAAGAGTAAACCCTAAACCCTGAAACCCTTAACCTGCGGTTGTATGCAGGTCCCCCACCCTGCCTGCACCACGACCCTCATGGGACAGGCCGCACCCTGATCGCAAACGCGCTTCTTGGGAAACCCCGAACCCTAAACCCCAGTGTTAAATTATGATCTTGTTATACGATTCTCTCTCTCTTCTTCTTCTACGGGGCATGCGGGGCCCGAAGAACCCCCCGCCCGCGCGCGAGCGCGCGGGCGCGCCCAGTCCACTCGATCAGGTCTTTTGGTGAGAAAGCGACCCCCAGCCCAAGCGCGATGTGTTCCCCCGAAGACGCCAATCCTTAGTGGGTCCTTAGTAGACACCCTATCGCGCTAGGTGTGTTCGTCGCTGATGGTGACACTTTCCCGATGGCGCCAGCTAGCTAGTCCACACTCAAACCACTCTCTCTCTCTGTCTCCCTCTCCCTCTTTGCCGTTATGATATGATTAGCTTCTCAGAATCTACTCTTATGCTACGATTCTTGCTTTATTGTCTTGTTGTATAGGAAACCCTGAACCCTAAATCATAAACCCAAAGCCCTATGTAAACCCATCAACCCTCAACCCTAATTAGTATGCCGACACCTCCAGGCCTCCTCCGTGTCTTTCACTGTTCCGTTCGCGCCAAGGACAGCCACCATGGGGTTCGGAGTCTCGTGGAACATCTCGTGGTTCCTTGGGTTTAGGTGCGGGGTTCAGGGTTCAGGGTTTAGGGTTTAGGGTTTAGGGTTTAGGGTTTAGCGGCTTGTGCCTTATGGAACATCTCATGGTTCCTTGGAGCAATGACTGGGGCTGCTCAATAGGGCTTTGGGGGCTTATGGTATAGTTATATAGGGCCCGCAAGGGAATACATATTGGTAATTCCTCCGACCGCTGTAGTACTTAGAGTAAACTCCAGCAAGTTGGACACATGGTGTAAGGGGTGATTGGAGGTGGGATTCCTTTAGTATACTGTAGGGCGGCTCGTGTGTGCCTGTCAGTGCTTCACCGTGAAGGCTTCACCGTTTGGCACGGGCGGGCGTTTGAAATACACGCACGCACGAAAATGCACAACCTGCCATGTCGCCCGAGCAGCGATTCGCAAAACCAACATTGCACCCAAAGTATGCCCACGGTCGCCGCGAGGAATATGATGGTGCGCAGAAATGCCAGGCAGCGACGCTGACAACCTTGTATCTCCATGTTCTTGACGGGGCAACAGCCCAACACTATACGGTCTCAACATTGCGGTCAAAGCGCTGCTCACAGAAGGGCTTGCCGACAAAATGGGGATCCCTTCCAGCAGGTGTGCTCTTTTCTGCTCCAGTTCCTCCTGCACAACATGATGACAAGCACAGTTCAAGGCAAGCAGTAACATACCCATCGGCAAGAATGCCTCAGCTGCGGCAGAGCTCAGAAGCAGCTTCGCGCCCTGCACTGCGTTGAGTTCAGCGATCACAAACTACAGCTGCAATACATGTCACCACGGCTAGCGACGAATGTTGTGCCAGCTGTGGTAGGAGAGTGCGAGTTTCCGTGCGCTCTTAGGATTGTGCAGAGTGTCACCCCTTTTGCTGCATCAGCTGTCAAACATCAACCTCTGGCACCTGCTGGTACTACAGTGATTTTGCCATGACTACTCTTACATAGGTGGGCGCCCGCTTCTGCTGTAGATGAAACCCAAACAGTTTTCAGCACACGGATGGTCTGACGTCAGTTCAATGAACCTTGCAATGCAACCAATGACAGAACTCATATATAACATACAGATATATATATATAAACACATATGTATATGAGTACATGTAATATAATGCAACAAAATAACATATCTCGAACATTGTGGCATATCATATACGTCACACGGTTGTCAGTGCACGCCGACCCTGCCTCGGGGTGCATATGGCCCTCGTGCCCAACGCGAGCGCCGCGAACTCCCTCACGAGCACCAAGTTCGCTTTCGGACATTCGGCCGACTTGAGCCCATCTGAGCTGGCCATCACGAGATGTGTAGTATGACTCATCTCACTGCTAATTCTTGATGTAATGACTGGTTGTTGATCTTCTTAATATCCTTTATCTTATTACTTAATAAAACAATTCATATTCTTCAAGAATTCTAAGTTTCATCTGCAACCCTGAGGCCGGTGCCAAGAGTGCAGGTGTGTGTTCCATTTTTGTGCCGCGTGCCATCACCGAACAGCTGGAGTTCCCTGCTAGAGGTGAACCTTCCTGCGGTACCGTGGACTGGCCCTCAAGCAAGTGCTTGTCCATGTGCCTCGGTTGAAAGCTGAGGCAGCTGAGGCGTTCTGTGCAGTACGTCGGAAAACTCGGCCCTTCAGCGCAGCGAGAACAGGTGCACACCGCACTAAGGTGGGGACAAGCGCTGTATGAGGACCTGTGCTAAACAGGCACCAGCAGGCGCCGTCACACAAAATGATGAAACAAATCACACAGCCGGGAACCGACGAAGCAATCCTTGTGATGCAGGAGCTTACCAGAGGCTCCCGCGTGTCGGCTCGGCAGCAAGCTGACGGCAAAGGCTCCTTGCAAGCGAGCAAGCGAGAGAGAGAGAGAGAAAGACACACATACACACAAACCCAGGTAAGAAAAACACGAAAACTTATGCAATTGCATACACATGCATGGCTAGGGCACAGCCAGTCCACCCCTCCCCACCCCCACCGACCATCCACACCTTTGATGCATCGGCCTAGCAAAAATCACGCCGCACCCGCAGGGATGCGATGCCCTCCACACATCACTGCAGCATGTTTAGGGTTTTGGGTCAAGGGCCTAAGGTAAAAGGTTGCAAGAAGTGAAGAGATAGCATGAAGGTTCAGGACTTTCGACTAGCAGGCGAAGGAACCTCCCGACCTATTGCCAGCTGCACCATGGAATCTGCAACCCAAGTGAACTGAAAGATGGCAAACATCACCCGTTCAGTTTTCTTTCGGGTTGAGGCAGGGTTTCGACGCTCGCACTAGCACAGGCAGGCAAGACAACAGACTGCAAGAAGCTACGCTGCCACCGAGCAGGGAAATAACATGTAATGAACTGGCACTCGCGAAGACCACAGCATCTACAGTGGGTTTCAACGTTGTTTTGTTCATTCAGGTGGGGAGCGCTGGGGAGGGGGAGGGGGATCGGAACTGGGAATCCATGCAAGGCACGTATCGAACGACAACAACAACCTCGAACATTCAACTTTTAACAACGACGTTATAAACCCTAAACCCTAAACCCTAAACCCTACGACATATACCCTAAACCCTAATGACAGCGTGGCGGACTGCCGTGAGAAAAGGCTGCAGGAGCAAACTTGTCAGGCCAAGGATGTGGCGTCAGGCCGCCGCCGCCTTGCAAGCCTGCCACACGGGGGTTTTGGGGTTTAGGGTTTAGGGTTTAGGGTTTAGGGTTTAGGGAACGGGGCTAGGTTAGGCTTTGGGGGTTTAGGGTTTTGGCTTTTGGGTTTAGGGGGTTAGGGGTGCTAAATGGTTTCGAGGTTGCCTGATGAACAGTGCAATAGACGATGGGAAGGCGGCATGTGCTCGACGAGTCCGCAGCGAGGCAAGATGGTCACTGCACGGAACCAATCCCAGAATGGTCCTATATATATACACATATTTTATAAACATGTACATAAATAACTATGTATGTATCTATATATATATATATAGATATACAAACATGCAATTTTTTGTGCTGTTATGCTGCTCGTCTAATCGATTTATTCTGCTACCATATCACTTCATTATATAACATGCTGCTTTCTCTTGCGGGAGTTTTGCAGAAGCGCTCGTTTCTGAAGATGAGCTGTGGGTTACCGAACCTCAGGGCAATCCTCCACTGCGACTGACATGCGGAGACGGAAGTCGCGGGCAAGCGATGCGCGCCGTGTCCCCACGCTCACAGAAAGAAACAGGGCTTGGTGACCCGTGGGTTTCTGCAGGCAACTGCCCATGCGACACCAGAACGGAAGTTGCCGGTTTCATGCCAGGGTGAGACAAGTAGCCCTCTATCGCGTGTGCTTGCAAGCAGTAGGTGCGCATCTGATTGGATGTTTCTGAAATTGGGAGTACCTTATTGGGGTCCTTTCTTAAGGGAATCCTACTATTTTGGGGTCTATAATAGGGGTCCCTTACTTTCGCAAACCCCTGTATGGATATGGTTTCTCGTGGCCATGCCCTTCAGTGCGCTTCGGTGCCCTCCGGTGCCTCGCCCCCTCCGGGACAAGAAGTTCTCCGCGGGAGACCCTCCGCATGGAGACCATCCTCGGATCTTGCTCAGAGGGTGGCACCAGCCTGGTAATAGCTAAATGAGATTTTGTGACTAGTTAATGATAGTACACATACTAGCAACAGTAATGGTACTACTACTATTCAGAATATTAATAATCATCACAATAAAACGAATAGCAATAACTAGAACAATGATAATGACAGATGACAATGGTGTAGAAGCGCGCCCTGAGCCGAGGACCCCTGTTCCACGTATTCCATGGCCCAGCAGCCACTGCGCCCACCTTCTCATTATCACTATTATTGTTACTATTATTAGTAGTACTATTATCAGTACTATAATCATGATAATAATGATAATAATAAGTAAGGCAGGATGCTTTTTCGAGTGATTGCACTGAGATTCTCGCCTTGCGCACGTACCTGAGGTTGCTAGAGAGGATGCAGAGGGGCCACTCTTTAGGGTTTAGGGTTTAGGGTCTTTAGACCCTCTCAAACGAGATGCGAACGAAACTGATAAGTTGTGTCAATCGTGGGCTGGTGACAGATGTCCAGGTCTTGTGGGCACTGCGAGCATGCCCAAGCCATGTGGGCTCAAGCGCGCAAGACGCGTTTAAGCATCTGGCCCAGCCACCCTGCTCCAGCTCGACCCAGCCCTCCCAAAAGCGACCTTGACAGCATCTCAGTGACTTCGCCGGCACCAGTTCACATGTCAGCAGCAGTTGCCCTGAACCCTAAACCCCTTGCCTGTAGCACGGACGACCTGGTCAAACAGCACTTGGCCCACAATTTCCGCGGCGGTGCTGGGGAGGGCCTGGCATATGAAGTTGCTTAGGGGTGTGGGGGTTTAGGAGCTTATAGGGTTCAGGGTCTACGCAGCTTTTCAGAAGGGCCCGAATCCTTCTCTTTTCGCCATCTTCGAAGCGCGAAATCGCAGCTCCCGGTGCGTCTTTCAATGCCAAGTCCAGCCAGAACTTGTTGGCGCTCACGATTTCGGCGTATGGCGTGGTGGTCTCACTCAACAGGTTCTGCACGGGTGGAGCCAGCGGTAGCCCATCCAGAAATCTGGACACCAAACCCGCCAGGCCCTGAGAAATCACGTAGAGGGCCGAGAGAGGACCTAGTTCATGGTTGGGAGACTCTCAATAACTTACATTTCTCTCCCTTACTGAGCTTTAAAGGGGTAAAATGCTGCCCCACCACTTAGTAGCCCGGAATCCATATTCTACTAAGGTTACTTTATAAGGGAACCTCGAACCCCCAAAAAAAGAAAAAAAAGAGTACCACTACCGAGACGATGACAAAAGGACCTTTGGGAGGCAGCTGCAACAACTTCCACAGCGCCAGACCTTCTGGCTGACGGGCAGCAGAGAATTCCTCACCTCTGGGTTTCCAAGAATAGGGGAAAACGGGGGCAACCCTCAATATACCCCAAAAAAGTATAACCCTTCTTAGAGGAACCCCCAACAAAGGCTCCCTAATTTTCGGCAACCCCCACCTATGTCCTCGACAACCGATATGCCTGGCTCCCCATGCTTTTCCAAAAGCTGGTCCAAGAACACGACATCTGCCAGCGCACTGTTTGCGCCTTGCCCCAGCGTGCCTCCCGTTGAGTGCGCCGCATCTCCGAGCAGCATGGCGCGGCCGGCCCTGTCGTGATATCTGTTGGCGCGTATGGTGGTTGCCTTGCTGGGCCTCTGAGCCTGTAGCTGCTCAATTGCGGACAGAGCTGGAGGGCCGAAGCTCGGAAAGTCTTGGCCGATTTGTTGCCTCACAGCCTCCTGTGAGTTCTCTAGGAAGGCGGGAGCCTTCTCCCCTGTCCAGGACAAGATGGTGCACAGACGGCCGTCAACACGAGGAATGGAGAACAGGGTGTAATCCTGGGAGCTCATGGCATGCACCGCCATAGGGTCCAGGGATTCGGGACATGGCCCCACCCACACCTTGAACCTGCGCCATTGTTAGGTACTATTAAAAAGTGATCATCTTCGTTCCTTGATTATTGCGGTTAAGTATTCATATACATGTAAAAACGATTTTCAACAATGACCCAGGAGCTGTCCTGGCAAGTCCACAGACTCGCAGCAGAAGTCAGATACGGAGCTCAGGGCAGTCCGCACCACTGAGTTTACCCCGTCTGCGCCTATGAGGTCATCATACGACATCTGTCGCCCGAGCGACGTTTTGCAAGTGCGGTGCTCCAGGTCTATGTCTTGCAAGGTCTCACCGAACCTTACTTCTCCAATAACCCAAGAATTAAAAAAGGTTACACTTTATTATTCTTACGAAATAGGGAAACCCAAACAGTTTAAAGTTCAGCTATTGGCTAAGTACGGAACTTCATGGACAGCCGACCTGATCCTGATGCCCCGTGCCGCGTCTCCAGATCATGCAGGAGCGCTGAGCACAGATCGTTTCCTTAGGGGCTGAATACCCTAGCCAAACAAAGGTTCACCTTTCACATGTAGTAGGATTATCCTATATAACCAAAAAGGTTAAAGGTTACCTAGCTAAAACCAGGTTAGCCTTTCATATATTAGCAGGATTTTATATAACCAAACAGGTTAAAGGTTACCTACCCCGAAGGTTCGGGCAATGAGAAGAGTTGGCACGCTGCCAGGTCGGTTTGCACGAAGCTGCAGCTGTTGGCCTCGACTCAAGCTCTTCCCAAGAGGGTTTAGGGTTTAGGGTTTGGGGTTTGCGGTTTAGGGTTGCTGAACTGGAATGAAACTATATAACGCCCTGAACACAAAACCCGAAACCCTAAATTTACAAACCCCAAAGCCTGAGCCCTAAACCGAACAAAGGATAGCATAAAAAAAAAAACAAATTGTAAAATGATTGCAAATTCTGTTAAATTGAATTTCAATTTACTACAATCGCTTTTGCATCTTTTTCGTAATTGTAAGAAGATTACAACTATAAAGAATGTAAAACGATTCTAGTAAATTGTTTTCAATCGGAAGAGCTGGAGCTGCGCACTCAGCCGTAAAGCAGTCAAGGCTTAGAAGGACGAGATGTCTGGTACAAGCTCCAGTAGACAAACAACCCTAAACCCTAAACCCTAAACCCTAAACCCTGACAAAGCTGTCAAGATCCAACACAAAAATAGATTTACAATGCAAGTTGAGATGCCACCGAGATGTAGAAGGAACTTGTCGCTAAGGATGCCCTGCCATCGCATATCCAACTACCGACACATCTTTGTTCTGCAAGAGTGTGTGGGGATTTCCCAAAATAGGGGTCCCCCTGAGATAGCCCGAAATAATCCGAAATAGCATCAGCCTCATTATTGTAAGAACCCTGAGGAGGCCCCCTGCTTTCAGCCACACGCCTTGCTGGAGACCAGGTCCCAAAGACCCTCCCAGTGCTGCAGCGCAGTGCGGCCACGGATGTTAAGTCCCAGGGAGTAGGCGCGAAAGCCTGTGATCTGCTCCGTGCGGGGATCACCTTCGCCAGCTAGGTTGTGCATAGCAAAAAGTGAGAAAGTTAGTGCAAAATAGGAATCCCCCCCCCATGCCAAAAGGCATCAATCCTTGGCTAACCACCACGTGTGGCAGGCTTGCTAGAAGACTTGATAGCCCTGACGCTCCAAAGCATGGAGGTGCAAGCCAAGAGCAGAACGAATCCCCTCCCCCTAATATTAAACCCCCCCCTACCCCCCTAATATGAAAACCCCAATATACTATATTATAACTATAATTAATGGGGGGCTTACCCCCTGATATTCAAAACCCCAATGTACTATACTAGAACTCTAATGGGGCGTATTTCTTTACTAGGGAGTAGGGGGGGGGTTTAATATTAGGGGGAGGGGATTACTCTGACATCCCTCCCGCACCTGCCCTCAAGCTCGGGGTACAACTGGCAAAAGAAGCTACTAATTGCTTAAGAACCCCCCAAACAATTGAAAGAAAACACTTCTTTATAAGGGTAATGTAGGGATTATCTTTTTTGGGAAGTTAATCGTCAAACATAGCTACTTCAGGCCGACAGCGAACAGCGGCTTTGCTGATAAAGGTGCCTCGTTTCTCGAGCATTTCCACTTCCGCCTCTGGACGCCGATCCAGGATGCACCGGGCGGCCAGCAGCCCAGCAGGTCCGGCACCACTAATGACGACCTTGTGCCCCGAGCGGTTTAGGGTTTAGGGTTTAGGGTTTAGGGTGCGTGTCAGGAAATGTTTGGATGCCAATGTCTTAGCCGCTCGCATGGAAACCCGGACGCAACGAAAGCTATAATGGGACGGGACCCCTCTGCCGGCAGGCGGGGGCGGGGCGTGCGGGTACGCACAGAGGGCGGAGCGGACAGCGGAGGCACGCCACCGAGCTTCACACAGCAACCCCCCGGGGCAGATCTTCTGAAACAGACACGCTTCAGCTGTTACTGCTGTGACTTTGTGACATGAACGCCACCTGCGTTAGCAGACCCTCTATAAGACTCTGAGTTCCAGCCTTTGAAGCTCGCTGGAAGACCGAAGGGCAGCGGCTTCCAGGCGGCCGAAAGGACGTGAAAGCGTGGCCCAGGCTGCCGAACACTGAGCTGAGCAGTCCCACAAGCGCCAAGAACTTTGCAGCGTGGTGAGTCCATGCCTCGGAAATTGCAAACCGACGCTTTTGGCAATCCTGAGCACTTGAGATTCCTAGGCCGGTTCTAGCCCTGTCCATGCACACGGTCCATCATCTTCCCAGTGGCAGAGGTCCCCAACTCTTTGAATTGACACGGGTGTCACAGAAACTGCGCGACATGTGAACGCAACCTCAAACCCAGCCCTAAACCCTAAATCGGGACCGATGGGGGCCGGGTATTTGACCGAGGCACACCCGGAGCACGCGTCGGCTTTCGTGCAAGCATCTGAAATCAATCTACCGGGTGGCTCTCGTACAATGAACGCGTGAATTTCCACTACAAAGCAGCCCCTCCCATGGGTTTAGGGTTTGGGGCCAGTTTCCGGAAATAGAAACTAGCTAGGCTGTGATGACCCGAACATGCCGGTCCCACAAGTGTTAGTCAGAGCTCAGCCTCTTCTTGCTTCCTAAACTCTGAAAGCCTCGCGGGGCGGCAAGATATCTTCGTAAGCAGAGTCATGAAAGAACCGTGCAGTCAGTGGCCCGTCATGCAAGGATTGCCGACATGCAAAGATTGTCGAGCAAATGTCAGCAAGCAGGCCGGCTGCACTGACAGAAAAACACCTGGACTCCAGGCCACCCTGCAAACAGCGAGGAGCTGGAATCGACTCTCAAGTCAGTGCCAGGTTTTGCCAGGTTCTGCCACGTCGTCAGGGGCACCTGTAGGAAGAGTACACTGGCTCTGTGGGGTAGGCTGCTCGTTCTTCCCACCTGGCGACGGCACCGTGACTGTGGCGATCTCGCTGCGCAGAGAGAGAGAGAGAGAGAGAGAGAGAGAGAGAGAGAGAGAGAGAGAGAGAAAGAGGGAGACACAGAGAGACAGAGACACAGAGAGACAAAGGGACAGAGACAAGACAGAGACGAGAGAGAGAGAGAGAGAGAGGCACTAAGCCAAGCCGGGCTCCGAACCCGGCAGGGACAGCATCACTCATGGCGTGGATGTGTATCTCGCGGCAGCCGCTTCTTGCTTTTGGGTGGCTTTTGACTCGCTTCTTTTGCTTTTGATTCCTGTGAAGCTGAGGTGGCAGCTCTGGGATTCAGCATCGACCTGAGCTCGACGTCCCACCCCCTTTGTCAGCCCAAAGACATCTGGCACGGAAGGCCAAGCGTCGCACACGAAGATCGACAAGTTCGAATCCTGAGCACTCTGATGGCTTTCATGGGCTTCATGACTAGGATTCTCTGTCTCTTTCCCCTCTTTCACAGCAGCCGCCATGAGCCTATTCAATAAGGCTCGCGCAATGCAAATCAGGTCGGTGCACTTGCTGAGGCACATGGCATCCACAAGGGCATCCTTTCAGAGGCTCCCAGCAGGCGGTCCACACGTTTCCACTCAGGTTCCAATCTGCGCTTCTCCCATCTGTTCTCGCGTCTCCACTCTACACGTTTTTAGAGAGAGTCTATGAGGCCCTAAACCCTAAATCCTAAACCCTAAACCCTAAACCCTATGTCTGTGCACTTAAGCTTAAGCTGCTGCATGGGCCAAACCTCAGCATCGACGGCTTCGCAGGGAGAGCGGTGCACTTCGTTGTCGATGCCGTCTGGACGAACTCCGCCTCTTGAGCGCCTGAACACTGGTTCTTCGTAGGGAAGTATAGGGTTGAGGGTTTGGGGTTTAGGGTTTATGGTTGAGGGTTTTAGCAGGGAAGTATAGGGTTTAGGGTTTGGGGCCGTTTGGGGTTTGGGGTTTGCCCTATAAATACCTTAAAGGGTATATATGGGGGGGGATGTAAGGCACGTACTGACCTCATTCCCTACTAAGAATTAGGGGAAGAGGCCCCGATGGCGCCAGGCCGTGCTGCTACGCAGTGGTCTGCAAAATTCGGGGGTACAGTAACATGATAGGCGTTCCTCCCATATCGCTCTGCACAAACTTCGGCAGAGGGAGGGAGAAATCGGCAACTCCGAGGAAGCATGTCGTTTCCAACAAGTAGGACATGCTCGGGTCAAGAAAATCTGCAAACTGACCAGGGACCGTGGAGAAGCACATCCGAGGACAGCGGAGAAAGCGAGTTACAGTTGAGGATGCAGCAGCCCCCAGCTTTCCGTTGGAAACGGCAATGGGCTCTGAAACTGCACCCGTCACCCGGCGACACGATTCAATCGCAAAAGGGGCGTGCTTATTTGGATCACATCCTTCCTTCCATGTTCTGTTTTTGCTACACTTGCTCAGCTTCTTAGAGTGACCCTGCCCTCGAAGACCCACTGTACCCGCGTATCTCACAGGTTCTGCACCCTAAACCCTAAACCCTAAACCCTAAAGCCTGAACCCTGAACCCTAAACCTAAACCCTAGACCCTGAACCCTAAACCCTATGCAATTCCACAAGCCTCAGGAACTGAGGCAGCTGCTTCACACCATCGCGGCAGCAGAGCTGTATCTGCAGTGGCATCTGGGGGTTTCCGAAATTCGGGCGGGGGGGGGGGAAGGGAGGGTTTAGGGCTTAGGGCTTAGGGCTCAGGGCTCAGGGCTCAGGGCTCAGGGCTCAGGGCTCAGGGCTGAGGGCTTAGGGCTTAGGGTTTAGGGTTTAGGGTTTAGGGTTTAGGGTTTAGGTACCTTTTTGGGGTCCTCCTTTTTTAAACAGGGAATCCTACTATTCCGAACTTAGGGGGGGGTACCTTTTTGGGGAACCTTTTTGGGGTCCTTGTTTAAGGGAATCCTACTATATGGGGGGGTCTATTTTGGGGGGTACCTTTTTGGGGTTCTGTTTTAACCTTTTAAAAGGGAATTCTACTATTTGGGGGTCTATATTAGGAGCCCCTTGCTATCGCAAACCCCCCCCCCGTCTGGGGTTTCAACACGCGGATATCTCAAGAGGTGGCTGGCCTTGCTTCCGGGCGGCAGGGCCTGAATCGAAGCACAATCGCAGGCAAAGAGAACGAAAAGTTTAAGAAAAGTTTAGGGTTTATGGGTTTAGGGTTATACTACCCCCCCCCCCCTATAGGTTCCCCCTTAAATTCACCTGAATTAGGCTTCATTCTCCCTAAATAGCCTTAGTTGTGGCGGGGGAGGAACCTAGAAGGGCGCTAGTACAGAGGGGGGGTAGAAGGGGACCCCTTGATAACCAACAGACGCTCGGTGCAGATGCGGCCTGCCTTGCGAAAGGCATCAGCTGTCTGAACCTCGTCAGTGGCCAAGTACAGTACCTGAACCACAAATCTTTCAAGTGTCTTGGGCATAGGCATGTATAATTTCTCACTCTCCTTACTTAAATGAATGGTTCTGATGGTTCTTAAGTATTCTGTATCACTTATTTACTAATTCTTATTATTCATTACTCGACTGCTGCAACTTTTACTATTTGATACTGTTACCACGATAACACCACTACCAATACCACTCCACTACCACGATGCCAACGACGAGGACTCCTACTCGTAGCTCCACGATCTAGAGCCTGCACCTTGAAGAATAAGCCCCGGTGATCCCACTGTGTCCACACTGTTTGGGGATAACATCTTCTATCTTCCTATGCAGAATTACCATGCAGCAATCGCTGTCATGTGTCTGACATGTGGTGGGCCTGCCGGACGCCATGCCTCAGAGCTAGCATCAACCGCGGTGGCCGTGGCTGGATATGTTGGATCGCTTCCCAAACCGGGCAGCAGGCGGGGTCTGCGCAAGAAGTGCCTTTGCCTCAAGTGACTCAAGGACTCTCTGCAGTGTGCGAAAGATTGCGAAGGCCCCCTCGACCGTGGACAACTCCCACATCCCTAAACCCGAAACCCTAAACCCTATGATTTTGCACTCCGCTCTGCACCGGGCCGCGGGCAGCTTCAAGGTACTCCTCTGCTGGTGGGTTTCGCTGGGCAAGCTGACAAGCCGCCACCTCACCAGAACATACTTGAACAGAATCAATTCTCTACCTCTGTCTCTTCTTCCGCTTTGTTCCACAAGGGTTTAGGGAGATCCTCATTAAGGGGGGTAATCCCTTCCCGCGCAGCCCAGGGTCGATTCCTCCCTCTGTATGTCAGAGGACCACCATTCTTCTCCAGAGTTAAGCATTTCCAAGAACCTTCAACCCACCTCCCCCTTCGCCCACAGCGAGCAACCCTCCTCAGTTGACGTCTTTCCCACCCCTACCGCCTCTCCCCCCTGGCATCAGCCTTTTTCATCTGAATCACACAGAAATGAGGGGGGGGGGGGGGGGGGGGGGGGGGGTCATAATCTTCTTTGCAAAGCAAGCTTGCACGAGTTGGGGTTAACCGCAGGCAGGGTTGGGGGTGGGGGTCTGCACAACGAAGAGGTCTCTCTATCTCTCCTTACTGAAATCCAATTCGGTCTCTATTGATTACATTAGAGTACATGTGCTTTCATGAACTCTGATGTTGCTTTGATTGAATCTCAGTTGTCGTATCGAACTTAACTGTTGTTAATGGGCATCCTCTCAACCTCCCGTGTCCCCTACACTCACGAAGTCCCCTCTCTCTCTCCCTCTCTCCCTCTCTCTCAACTGACTCTCGCTACTGGCTGATGCCTCGTTTGTGCCCAAGCGTTTGTGGACACCCACCTGTGCACTTCAGGCGCTTCTTGCCAGATTCAATGCAGCCCGATACATGCTTGAGCTTTGCTACTGAAACCAGAGCCAACTTCAGCCCCCAACGACTCGGGCTCCTTCAGGCCACGTGTCAGTCACCTGCCCCCCGAAACGGAATGCGCTTTGCATGTTTGTTGCGATGTGGCGGCTTCCGAAAATAGGGGTACCCGGCTTAGGGGGTCCCGTTAAGGGGATTACATTCTATTTGGAGTACACAAAGGGTACCCCTACTTTGGGAAAATACCCATGTGGATCACCCCAGCCTCCCTAACTCTGCGGCTGATAAGCGGAGAGATGGTCAGGGCACCCTGAATTGCACGATGGTAGCCTGGCAACCAAGGCTCAAGCACAGACGGAGTGTAGAAGGGTGGGCCACTCAGACCAATAATGAATCCTTATGAAAAGGGCGGCCCCTATTATTTCGGGTGCCCCAGAAAGGGACCCTCATTTTAGAGAACTGACCATGTCTCGACAAAAAGCCCACCTGTGCGCAGCGCTTGGAAGTCCTGAACCCAATGCTTGCTTGTTGTTAGGGTTTGGGGTTTAGGGTTTAGGGCTTAGGGTTTAGGGTTTAGGGGGTCCTTCGGAGGCACGCTCCAGATCAAGCCTCGCAGCATGTTCCTGCATAAACGAGGCTGTGCAAGATGGAGGGTGCAGCAGCAAATGCATTGTACTTCATACGCCGGAAG